ACAAAGGTATCTTGACGTTTTAGGTACCATACACCCTCATTGTTCATAATGATCCTAAGTAGGACCCCCTCTGAATTTTGGGTAAACCCTATGCATTTAGAGTCCTGGCGTCACGCTGGAAAAGTGCATTCATTTTTCACTTCTCCAATTCTCCATTATTAACACATTGCTGCGTTAAGTTGACTATGAAATGGTTCATAATCTACCGCTTTGCATGTTTTTTATTAATATTTTTATTTCTTTAGCATCCTTTCTCTTTATTTCCCTTAGCTCTTTCCTGATTCTTATTCGAATTCCCATTAACATTCATTTCATATTTATCTTACTCGAAAGTCTAATCTCTCATCAGCGGCGCATGTGCCGCAATCGGGCTACAGCAAATCCTGTCGGTGCCGGCATGACTATGTGGATTGGTCCTGGGGACGGAGGGAATACTTGCTCTCTAACTAAAGAACTGACACCCAGTAGCAACAGTAGCAGCAGCGCTACTCCTGCTATTTGCACTGCTGATAGGATTGGAGGTGGTCTTAGCTTATCTGGGAGCGTTTCCTCTTCATCCTCCTCTTCATCTTCATCCTCATCCTCTTCTTCGGCATCTGCTAATGTCCCGACTTCGACGCCTACTTTGAATCCTGCTCTACTCTCTGGCCAATCGTCCACCGGCCTGCCATTGAGCTCTGTCCACCTGAGCTCACCTCAACATCCGGTAGTCCACCAACTGGCCCACCTGACACATAGCCACATGCCGCCTCCCCCACCCCCTTCTCAGATTGCCTCCGCAGCTGGGCACCTTTTGTTAGCAGGACAAAATCCCATATCAACTCTAGCCCCAATGCCGCCACCCCAGATTCCACAAATTTCGGTGCCTACTGGCCTCGGAAATGGGCTTTCTAGCCGTGGTCCTAGTTCACCGACTGGTGGATCACCAGCCGGGGCTCCAGGACAGCCACATCTCTTGATTGGGTCTGGCATGCAACAGGTAAATGTGCATCCATTAAGTATTCTACCATTCATTTCTCCTTACTGTGACGCAAGTTCGATATAACACGAAAACTACCTGCACTAATTCAGAGCGAGTTATACTTCTAATGATTTGGTGTCATATCGCCTTCATCTAGTCTTCATTTCAGTCGTACAATCAGTAATTCATATAAGATGTATTCACTCTACTTCGTTCAAGGTGATGAATAAGGTGATTGCTATAAGTAGGCCTTACCTTTGCATTTATTTGCACAGCCTTGCTTCCCAAAAGTTATTTTCATCCAGAGTGGACTGCAGTTTCGACTTCACCTAGGTCTCTTCAGCACCCCCACCGAGAATCGCACCCTGATAGTGCAGCGTATAGTCTCGACTTGTTAACCATTACACCAACTGCCACAAAAGCCCTTTGGTCTCAGGGCAGATGTGAATTTTAAGGAAGGCCAGGCCTTTCCCTATATCATATTCTGTGGTAGGATTGTCGATTGAACAAAGTTGTATCTGCTGTAAAAATCGATTATATTACTTATCTTTCGTTTATAAGTAGGCCTTCGAGACCACCAGTAAATCATATATATGAGGTGTATTGAGCCTAATTCGCTCAAAGTGGTGATTAAATAATGTATTTGATTGCTTTAGCAAATTTAACTTTACGTCATCGACAATCCAAACACAGAATGTGATATGGAAACAGACCTGCCTTTCCCTGAAACTCACATCTTCCCTGTGACTCAAGGGTACTCGTGG